TCGGAGGAGTGTAACAGTTACAAGGACATTGTACTTGGGAAATTTAGCGGAGAATGTAGTAGCAAGAAGAAATGTTTCATTTGGAAAGGGCCATTTTCCCTTTTCTTTCGGCTGTTTGTAATGTAACTGATTGTTACTGCTGGTTGCCAAGGTAACAGAGTCTTAAGGCCTCATTATGCTTCTGCGTCAACTCCACGGCGTAGCTACGCCGTCACTCCTACGGCGTCGTGGCCGTTTTATGGTTCTGCGTCAGGTTGCGTTGCATCGCGGTGTATTTCACCGCCAGAACGCTAGGGGGTGTGTGCTTCGCGAATCTTTTTGCTAGTTTGTTTTGGTTCCGTGCGCCGGTTCCGCTTTCGTTTCCATTACCCTTCAAATTGCGCAAATTGAAATTGCGAATTGAAAATACGCACAATGGAACCACGTCCATTTCGCATAAACTCCCGTTTATCGCAAAAAAAGATTTTATGCTCGCATGAGGAGGTTTTTCAGGCAATTCGAAAAAGGAATATTTAGCAAAACTGCAATGGAAGGTTTTGCGCATTTACAGTCACCTGACTTAGAAGACGCGGTGTGTTTGGGGTCCGTGTCCGCAAATAATAATAAAAATTATCATCATTATTATAACATTTATTAGGCTACATAGCCTATGTAGAAGACGCTTTTATCCAAAAAAATGAACAAAGCAATTCGTCACATCTCATTCAAAATAAAGGTTGAGTTGGACAATAATATAATACGGGGCTAAGATTATCAGAAATAAACACAAGATTTTGACGCATATTCAAGTGTTTAAGCGGAGCGCGCACTGGATGGCAGGGATAGGCGCGCGGGCGCGAACACTTGCATTTCCCTATCAACAGTGGAAACAACTTAAAATACTCTATCATTTCTGGTCATACAGAAAATAATAATAGCCTACATTATTCGCAACTAATTGTATTTGCGTAAACTCACAATAACAAGAAAACGTTGTGGTTTTGTAAAATAAAACAAAACAATCAGGCGCGCTTTCATGGTCTCCGTGAACTCAAGCGCGAGAACTGAAACAAAATATAGCCTATGTAGGCTAAAGCTTGAAATGTCCACTTTAAAACAAACAAATTCGAATCGAAAGCTTCTGATTATGTAATCCGTATGAAAGGTGCATTTCTCTCTAAAGGTGCATCCGGAGATGGAGATGTTTTTAGCCGACATTGATTTAGAAAACAATAGTTTATTAATAAACAATTAAAATGCCTCGTTATTTTGTCAGACACATTTATTATAACCTATAAATCACCTTTCTGTAGGTTGTGGTTATGGTCTTTCATTCAGCACTGCGGGAAAAATATAATTTCCAGGTTCTAATTTGGCCTTAGAAAACCAGTAAAATCTACATGTTTTCCATATTAATTTGTGAATATTTTAAATGTTTAATAAAGGAGCAAAAAATCATAAACAAATAGGCTATCTTAAATTTCGTCGATATTTTTTTTTTTTTTTTTGCGCAGCATTTGGTGTACAGTTCAAATTAAAAAGTTTGTGTTTAACTTTGCGTTTAAAAAAAATACAACAACCGTTCATTTTTCGTTTTGCAATTACGGGTTAAAAAAGGGAAAACGAATGGACCCAAAAGTAGGCTACACTGACCGTTTGGAATTAATACGAGACAGAGTTCTTTATTAAATTCATAAAAGAAACAATTACAGGAATAGCCTACTGGACTCTAAACCTCAAAGAAATGCCACAATCAAGACCTCGGAGCAGAAATGAGGGAGAACTCCTTTCCCTGCCATCAATGCTTGGATAACACACCACGTCTCCTTCCATTAATAATAATGTCTGCGGTGGCTATAGTGACACAAGGTATAGCATCTTGCTTTTGGAAACATTGGACCCGAAGCCTGTATATGTTCTATAAATGATGCCTCATCCGCATCATTCTTAATTGTTTTGTATTGTTTTTACATTTATATCTGTACTGTGTTGTCTCTGGACCTCTGTGTCTTGAATAAAAGTTGATATAGGCTATAACGTTAAACCTACCAACGTCCGTTACCATGATTTTTGGAATGGCTTATGGCGAGAGGAAAAAAAGACGTTTAAGTCGCATAACATCGGTTATGGAAACGCCGTCATTTCGCAATAGTTTTTTATCGACATAAAGAAAAAAAATCGCAAAAGTTTTGCGCAAATCTGTAATGGAAACGAGCCTAATGGCGAGCGAAAGAGAGAGAATGTTGTTGCAGCTGGAGCTAATCGACGTTGAACAACAAATAATTTTATTGCAAATGTTTAATCGCAGAAGAATCAAACGTTCCTCAACTTGATATCGTTTAAACAAACAGTGCAGTGGTCACTTTAAAAATGGCGGTATAGCGGGAGGGGGAAACTGGAAAAGCTTCACTCCCGAAATGATGTATCTGACCAATCACAGCCCTTGTGGTCTGCGTCGCCTCGACGCGTAGTTACAATTTTTTGGAGGTGCACGTCGAGCTACGGCGGAGGGGTCTGAGAGGGGTTCGCGGCGACGCAGAGGGGTCTGCGGGGGTACGCCGTCGATTCCACGCAGAAGCATAAAACAGGCTTTAGGCCGTGTGTCCACCAAAGCGTTTTTCCACGCGCCTGGCGTATGCTTTCAATTGTTTTCAATGGGAGCGCCGCGTTTTTAGAACGCCATGAGCGTAACGAGGCGCTGAACGTGTTTTTCACGCTGAAGCGCCTGGCGTTTTTACAGGTCGCTGAGAGTTGAAGAATGTTCAACTTTGGGTAAAACGCAGCGCTCATCACTGTCACTTTTTACCCAGCCGTCCAATCGCAGTGGAGGAGGGGCGGGACTAACACCACACCGAGCAACTGCCACAACATTCTTCCTGTACCAGCCAGCGCTGTTTTCCTCTGTGTACATGCGCTAATGCATGTCTGACAATTTTGTTGCTTTTTGGAGTTTTCATATATAAAAACGTCTATAGAGAAAGAGGCTACACTCGTTCTGCGGTTCTCTCGCAACAGATATAACTACCCTCTGAGAGGCGGCCAAAATCAGAATTTAAAACGGACTGAATAAAGCTCTCTACGAACTTGATGAGCGATGCCGTGTTGACTGACATGTATGCGCATGAATCACTGTCACACACACGCTCAGATCAATATTACTGCATAATACACTTTTAACTAGAAGAATACAGCATCTCAACACACACACTCTCACTTTTAGCTACGCCTTTTAACTATTATAGTATTTCAAAGGGCAAAAACATGAACTTGAACTAGTGGCTTTACATCATCAAGTCAGCTGTCACTTTAGCATCATCAAGTCCTTTAACAGTACTGCCAGTAGCATATAGCATTAGCTCCTGAGCAAACTCGAGCACGTCGGGCTAGGCGTGTGTGGTGTCCTGCCTATTTGCCCATTTTCTGCTATCCGGGAGTGACACGCTGCCAAGATGGCAACGCCGGCTCCGCCCACTTTGGGCTTCAAAAACGCTCTTCAGAAACACTACGGGTGACGTCACAGACACTCTGTCCATATATTATTTTACAGTCTACTATGGCCTAGACACGACTACAATGCAACTAACATGTCACAATGAGAATTTTTTGTTGTTGTATGGCATCATTAACGTGTTTTAGCTTGGCTGTTTACATTCAGATGAAGATGCCAAACACAGTCAATGTGTGACTGCAGGCTTAGAGTGAAAAGAAACCGATCGTGATGTGAAGACATTTCCTCTTGATCCTCAATCCAAATGACCAACATGTGATTTAATGAGCTAGCTATGGCTGTATGCTAAGATGAGATGTCGAGCGAAGGAGAAACATGTATTTGTCACCATTACAAACGATAACAGATTATCAAGACATGAATGGTCGTATTTACATATAAAGCAACATCATAAATCAAATGCGTATGTTTTCAAATAGGCAATCAATAGCGTAGCCATCCGCTAGGGCTGTTGAGTTAACTCATAATGTGGATGCTGAAACAAACACGTCATGCTACATCTTTTTAGCTGCTTGATACAAAAGGAAAACTTGCATGGTTGTCATTTCCCATGACTGATCTACAAGAGAAGTATGTTTGATATAACAACTCAGATTTAAAGGTTCTTAGATACACAGAATTTATTTTTTTACACTGTTTGTTGCTAGTGAGGAACAAGAGAAAACTGAACACCGGAAAGTTTGTGTTAAAGATGGCGTATGAGAACCTGCTCGAACATCTTCTGATGCTAACCAACAGTGTACATGTGTCGGCTCCTTGATTACAGCGCTAGTTTCCACGCGTCTGACATGTTCAGTGATTATGACGGGATTAAACCATTTAACCTGTTTGGTCTTTATATATTTTGACCACAAAGACGCATAATGTAAACAGCGCTCACTATGGGACAGTTGAATGTACAATCCATATAAAGAATATGACATTCAGACCCCCTCAAAAAATTTTTTGATAAATAAATGTATTAATAAAATTGCACTTACAGGGAATTAAGAAAAATTTAAAATAAATTATTGACAATTATGTTTTTTGTCAGAATCTTGCAGCCTTCGACATTAACCCTTCATTAAAAATATGACATTCAATTTGTAGGCTTCATTTCCTATGCAGATTCACTCACCTACAAAATCACCAAAAATAGAGAATTCCTTCCTTCCAAATAGAGCAATGCTGTTTTCATATCGCAACATATATCACAGAAAAACTAAATATCGCAATGCAAGTTTTTTCCAATATTGTGCAGCCGTACTTTCAGTTTCAGCCAATGAACCGCTAGGCAGAAACACTTGTTCATGACACTGGTAGACTCATGGGTCGGTCAGTGTCCACGTCAAAATTATACAAGTAAAGTAAAGGTTAACGCCCCCAAAACGGCCCATTTGAGTTACTTTGTTGGCTTCTGAATATCAAGTGAACCTTGAAATGGAAGTTTAGAGGGTTTGATGACCGTATGATAGTATACTATCCTGAATATGATGTGTGTGTGATGAGGCTCTGGGGGAAGCTGTGCACTCACCGGCGACACGTCCACATGCGTCTCCGACGTGGTCTGACCCACACACTTGTACAGCCGTCTACAGACGATGTTGTGCAGGATGGCTCGGGCCTCGGACAGCTCCGGCGCAGACGAGTACAGGATCTGTTCAAAGATATTATCTAAAAACAAACACATTCTTTCATGAATTACCAAACAACCCTAATTTCATCACTCCTCCAGCATTGTTTCCATGAGCGTGACTGACAGCTGGTCAGGGTTCGGTCAGCATGAGCAGTGTGCGGGACACGGGCCGTCATCTACCTGTGAGTTTGCTGTAGGCCTCCATGTCTTCTATAGCTGACGAGATCGTGAACATCCTGCCAGAAGAGCCCTGGATCTGGATGTGAGGGTCCGCCTTTACAAAGGCCTCGGTTATCCTGACACAAAAACAGCCAATGACAGAACATTGAAACCCACCTGGAAGCCAGGAAAATGAAATGTGTTGTTAGAGGGTGCTGATACACACATGGTCTCGATGATGTTGCCCACTTTGTGCTGATACGCCCGGCGATGGAGGCAGTTACGAGTGTGGAACATGTCGTAGAGATTGCCAACCTCCTGCGAGTACAGAGAATTCAAAACACTCTATCAGAACGTCGTTTAGCTTAGCTGAAACTCTGCCTGATACGGGAACACTTCATCAAACCTGCCCCAGATTGATCATGACGCATCTCAAACCAGTCACAGTGAAAGCTAAAACTGGCCGAGCTCGTGTTAACAGTCATTCACAGAACGAGAGAGGAGTCCACCTCAGCATATGCTGATAAGGGGATATCAACCGTCTTCATTTAACGGGTCGATGCTTCTCTTGTGGCCTCTGCGACTGAAGAAGTATTTAGCAGCATCAGCGCGACTGACCCGATCAGGCCCGGCTCTATGGGGTGCACCCTCAGTTTAAACTAATAACAGCATCTTGGACAGACTTTGCAAACGCACCAGTGTGTATTTGTGTTTGCACTCTGGAGAGCGTGTTTCTGCAGCGTTGAGCAATGCAGCCAATCACAGACATCTGTTGACATGCTGAGACACCTTTACTTCACAAAGCAGCAAAAACCACTTCATTCATGGTCATACAGATACAAGCAATACATCATTTTAAATGGAAAAAGGTCTTCTTGTTTGTCTACTTGCACTCAAAACATTGCGCTTTTGTAAAACAAAGAAACCAAAAGGGTGTGCTTTCTGCCGTGTCGGTCTGGGATCCTGCAATCATTAACTCGGAAGAAGCAGGAACGGATCCCGCTGAGGATCGTGAATAGTTCTTTAATCTTAAGCGCTTTACTCTAATCGCAATATAGAAGTGTCTGCAAACCGCAAAAAGACTGTTTAAATATGAATCCTGCATGTTATGTGTCTCTGTGTGAATGAATGGCACATCTAAACACACTTACGTTAGTAAACATGCTATGAACACATCTACTAGTCTGAGTTTTCCCAGACTATATTGCTATACTGAGATGAGCGAAATCGACTGAAATATGTTGAAATAAAATGTCTTTGTATAAGTAACGTATTAAACTACAAATTAACTGAAATGTTCTATAATATAACATAAATATGAAATACGTTACAGCCGTAATCACAGTGAGCTTTGGACATATTCCTCATGAAGTGAGCTCACTGACTGGACGAGCACAGAAACACCAAATGCCTTGTCATGAGATGTTCACTCATATATGAGCGGGATTTGTTTAAAGGTATGACTGTGCTCAAAATGTGCCTTTGACCTTCAGTTATATTTGGATTATATTGTTAAATATATACTAAATAAACTAAATAAAATGTATTATATATAATAAATAAATATATATTTTGTGATTTATTATATATACACACACTGTCTATATATACATATTTAATTTTTTTCTCACATTCTTTCTTGTAGTTCCCTCTCACACACCTGACTGAATGGCTCATTAGAGGACCTACGCATACACGCTATTTTCTTCAAAATACAAACATGTACATGTTGCTCACATATTGTAGCCCAGTTTGTGCTGAATACAGTGTAATGAGACTTTGCCATTGATATGTTTATAAGCAGCAACTGTAAAAAGCACAAATGTCAGGGCAGGACAAACCTTCTCCATGGCCCCCCCTGACCCCTGACCCCAGAGGGTTAATGATGGTGGGAACAAATGACAAGCATAAATATATCTTGGTAAAAAAAAAGAAGTTCAATTTAAAATCACATGCACTAAATCAATGAATACACACATTTCAGTATGACCCCAAACCGTACCTTGTCTCTTGTGCAAATGTGCTTCTTTCCTCTCACTTCACACACCCGTGCAAACTTGAGGAAGCGCTGATAGTCGAAGTTATTCTGGATCCCCAGGTGGTAACAATCCCTGCCCATAACACCACACATTTCCATTCAGCTGAACTAGGGTTAGAGACCGACCATCTTCATTAGCCTGCAGCGATCCATCTTACCTAGCAAAGTAGTCCCACTTATCCACGTCGATGCCATTTCGTTTGTTTGCGACGATCTCGTACAGGAAGGACTTCTCCAGAGGCCGGCCCTTATACGGCCACTGCAGGGTCAGAAGGAGCAGACGCTGCACATCAGATGAGGGCTGTGCATACACATGTCAATATTCAAACTGTAATTATTATTCGGAAAATAAAAAAAACGGTTCAAATTGTGCTACATGTTGCTTTGCTGGCCGAAACGCTAAGCACACAAACTAACACTCGCAGTTGTAACTGGAGGCGCTGGTGAACAAGCTGATGTGTTTGATGACACGTGTCGTCGTCCGCCTCTAGGCAGTTTCAAAATACTTTGATCAAAGTGATGTTACTAAATGACCGTATTAAATTGATTTTGCACAGTGTTTTGAGTGTGCGGCTGCTGTATTTTTACAACACTAAATGACCGTACAAAATGGGATTACTTTTGATCAAATAGATCAACATGTCGTGTTTAATCATTTTCGAGTTATCATAAATATCCCCAGCATGAGATCACATGAAGTCCAAACCCAGTGGAGCTGTGTATCGCTGCACTCACGAACACACTGGGCAGGAGCAGCTCAGAGTGAGCCGAGAGCACGGCTACCCCACAGCAATCCTAGGCAAGCGCTTCCTTTCTGGCGTTTGGGATGTAAAAAATTTATCAATTAATATCTGAACTTTTGCACATTTCATGTAAAACACCCTATGCATTGCCACCGGAAGCCGGAGTTGGAACAACTAACTTCCTCAGTGTACACCGATACTCAGCTGAAGCAGCCTTAGCTTTATTGCAGCACTCAGTCCGAGTCTGTTTGCTTGGCATATTTGCCCACGCTTCTACAAACACTTTCTTCCCAGAAGCCACCGGTCTCTAGGATCAACTTGGCTCACATCTAGGGATGGACTTAAAACTATATCACAATATTTTCTGGTATTTATTGCGATAACGATATAAATATCGTCCCATTCACCACTGTTTTGGCTACAAGTGATGCTGCATGGCTTCTGGAGAGGAAACACACACACACGGATCTACAGTCAAAAGCACCCATCATCAAGGCTCCTATAATATAACAATTACAATAAAACAAACCAAAAACCCAAACACCAGCCCTTGCAGAACCGGGAAGTTTTTCAGGTGGGTCTATCAGCAGGGTTCAGGTCAGAAATACTACAGAAATGAAAGCAATCAAATGTAAAATAACACTGGATAGTCTTCATTGTAAAAATTAAATGCAGATTAATGCTTTCAAACTGAAGTTAAGAGTCAAGAGCAGAGAGTAGTTTTCTGTCTTTTGATTAACAGTGTATTTTTTGCGTCTTGTATTTTTAGGGGCTGAAATTCAACATGGTTGTATATTATTTAAGCTGTGAATATTTTGATTCAAAACATTTCACACATTTTCATTATAACAAAATTAATTCATTCCGTTATTTATTCATATAAATTGCCTGTCGAATATCATAGGTTGTATTTTTAAACAGAATATTGTGGAAGTCTGAAAGGTGAATATGGATTATTGAATTTTTAATAATGAAAATGAGTGTGAAATGTTTTGAATCAAAATATTCACAGCTTAAATAATATACAACCATGTTGAATTTCAGCCCCTAAAAATACAATGGATTAAAATGTAAGCAAGGTTATTGCAGTGCATATTTTTCAATTAGTGAAATTCAACAAGCTTTTTTGTTTCAAAAACATTTGGCATAAATGTTCATACAAAAACCCTACACTAGTGCTGGAGCCGTGATTAATCTGTCATTTCTCGCATCACAAAGCCAGCTGTTTAACAGGGCTGTGCCGATCTCCGGCGCTCTCGTACCGAGCGGTCCAGCACTGAGGTCTCCAGCGGCCCGGCGATCTGCTCCTTGATGAAGACCAGGTCCTCTGGAAGTCTCAGCCCATGATGCACCATCACCGCCTCGAGCTCGTTGACCTCCACCAGGTGGTCGAACATCTGCACTGAGGCGGTCTCGTGCTGCGGGGAGAACACACACGTCAGCCTGCAGTGCTGAAGGAGGCGGTGTGGCGGCCGTGGGTCGAACCCTCCACACCTGAAGCTAGGCCTGTCACTTTACACTCGAAAAACCATTCCACAATCGATCGGACCAACCAACTCAAGTTTACAAAACGAAAATAGGGAATCGATTTTGACGCCCTTTTTTTGTGTGTGTGTTTTAGGTGGACAGATCAACACAGCACACAGAACATGTGGGATGCTGGAAAATAACAATGTCTTTTCTGTTCACCAAATGCTTTTTAATATTCGCTATTACTTCAATGAACAAGCGCGCCGTTATGTCTTGCGTAGTGACGTGTGTTCAAGTAAGCCAGAAATGCACAGATTCTACGCTATACGCTGTATTTAATATATCACGAGGATCACGAGTTGCGTATTTGTGCTAAATCCGCGCAGATTTGGCTTACACGAACTTCCCCAGCGAAGTGAGTAAACATAGAAACACGCCAGACTGGCTCGTGATTTGACGGCGTTTCCCGCCAAAGTTCATTTTTACACACATTTGGCGGGTCGAGGGAGTTAAAGGAGCTGTATGTAAGAAATGTATTTGAATTAATCATAAAATGGCCCTGATATGTCACTAGACATTGAGAAATCATGTTCATTTCAAATACTTATATCACTGACAACAGTAGTCCGGCCAGGATATTGTCATTTAAAAAGTGCAGTTGCAGCCCTCAACTGATGTTGATATTGTCATGTTGTGTTTTGGTCTGATGCTCCGCCCTCCACCTATCGACCAATCACGAAGTCAGTAGTGTTGCGGCATCCGGGTTGCCAGCTCTGCTCTAGTTACCACGGCTACACACGTGTCGGATTAAAGAACGCAGCCGATCTGGCAACCTCGAGTCAGGGGGGAGGGGGAGGGGATACACCGCTCTACTGTCATTTGAAAGTGATTGCAGTACCAGTTTGGCCACAATCTCACATACAGCTCCTTTAATCTCAATCCCTGAATGTGGCGCTCCTGTTTGTCATTGTGCTGAAACTTCACGCCAATAAATCATCAGGAATATTGCTGACTTGTGCGTCTCAAGCGCCCTCTTTACGCTCGTCCTAATGCCTGTTAGGTGTCCGTGGATTTGCCTATATTTGGTGTTGAAAATGGAAACGTCTTTAGACATGGAAAATCGATTTTACAATCGATTCAATGAACACTTGTGTCTCAAAAATCGAACAGGATTTTTTCCCAGAAGTGACAGCTCTAATGAAGCCTTCGCTTGCCTCGCTCTCTACCTAAATCAGCTGAAGGGTCACATTACATTTGTGCCAAATATCGAGAAACGAATAAAGACTCTTTAAAACTGGAGTCTAAGGGTTACATTTTGTCTGAGATTTTTATTTTTTATTTTTATTAATTTTCTGAAAAGTTAGTTTCAAAACATTAGGCACAAATCTACTTCCCGCCGAGGTCCCCCATGAGAAGCTGAAGGCACGGCTCTTCCTCGACCTCCTAGAAACAGGCCGTTCACATGAGGGGTCTTACACGGGTGAAGCTTTCCACACTTACCTTCCACTTCCGACCAGGTCGAACTTTAGGGATGAACATGCCATCAAACAAATGAGAAAATGGGCCATGACCTGGACAACAGACAAAAAGGTGATTTTAAAGAAAGACGACGCTAAAACATTAGTGTGTGCTCTTAGATTAACACGTATGACTTGGGGATTTGATCTCCAGTCACTGGCATTGTTCCTGGTTTATGGTCAAATTTTGTACATTACAAAAAGGATGCGAGATGATGATCTGAAAACCGGTCTGTGCCTGATTATTGAAATGTCTCCTTTAAATCAATCATTTCATCATCTGCTTGTAACGAACACGAGTCTCTTGTTGCGACTCGCACTCCTGGGCGTGTCTGGAAGTGTGGACGAAGGAGAACGGGAGCTCTCTCACGCTTGCGTCACTCACCCAGGTCATGGCACAGGCCGGCGATCTGCACACACAGCATGTCCTGCTTCGTTATGAAGAGCTCTGGCTGTCTTTCGTTCAGAGCCTTGACGAGACACCCCGCCAAATACCCCACCCTGCAGCACACAAACACAACACACTCTGAAGCAGCGTCCGTTCGGGCCGGCGCGCCATGATCCAATGAAGCGCGCGCACACCTTACCCGACCGAATGCTCGAAGCGGTTGTGGGACGCCCCCGGGAACACCAGGTACGTTCCTCCCAGCTGTTTGATGTGGCGAAGCCTCTGGAACTGAGGCGTGTCTATGAACTGGACCAGCAGGGGGTGCAGCTCGATGTGGCCGTGGATGGGGTCGTTGAACACCTGGGGACACACACAGCACCTGTGGAGAGGCCTGGCTCCAGCGTTTGAGTAACCAGCAAGCGTTTGAAAGCTGTAGGGCATACCTTCACGGGTTCGTTAGAGATTTTCCAGAGCTTCTGAAGGCAGTGGAGGATCTGCAGGCGTGATCCCAGAGGCCTAAACGGGGCAAGACACGATTATAGCCATTACAGCTCATCTGCACCCCATTTGAATTATGCAAAACATGCACTGGAAATCAACAGCTCATTATCAGACAGGGTCAGATTGTGGCATTACGCTATGATTAAAAGATTTCGGTTTGTTAATAACGTAGCATTACAAAATAATTCAAGCAACACTTACGAAATACCCATCTTCTCCAAAAGCCCCTCGGTAAGGTATGGCAGTCCTGGCCCTGTTATGCCATGCTCTGCAAGACAGATAATAACACTGAGGGCTGTGTGTCTCTGGCTGGCGCTCTCAGCGCCGTCGAAGTAAAAGGCACGCGCGGCTTACGTCACTGCAGAGCTCCTACAGGCGGTGCGCCTGCGCTCCTGGGGAACCAGTGATAGACCCATTACCCTGGTGGCCAGTTCCTGTAACTACGGGTGTTTGCACACTGGGCTTGTTTGCTGTGGTCCGAGTGCGGGCGCGACTGTTCCCGGTTCCCCCGCAGCGTTGGTCTGGTTTCACACTCAGCTTGATTATATCGAACCCTGGTGCGTTCTAGGGATGTGCACGAATATTCTAATTTTCGAATATTCGATCTGTAATTATTATTCGAAAAATAAAATACTATTCGAATTTTACTACGTTGCTTTGCTGGCCATAAATGCAGTGAATCCATGATAAATCCCAAGCACAAACTCACAATTATAATTAAATGCACTGGGTGGCGCTGTGGAGTGTGTTAACAAGCTGTGTGTATTTGATCACATAATGTTGTCGTCTGCCTCGCAAAGTTTGGAATTACTTGAAAATGATCTTACTAAATGGAATTACTTTTGATCAAATTAATTAATTAATCTGAGTTATAGACCTGAAGATGATTATAGAACAAAAAGATGGACGACGCCCCTTCGCTCTTTTCCATCGGAGAGAACTGAAGCCGCCAGTGTCCCGATATGGCGCTGACATCTTGGGACTTGAGTCTGCGCACTTGCGTAGCACATCGCAAACACACACTCCTGCACTTTTCTTAAGTCTGCTCCGTTCCTCTCCAATGATGTCTGCTGATTGCAGTACCTCGTTAAAATAAGGTAAATACAACTACTAACCACATAGTCAACATTATGAAAAAAAGTCCGTGGGTGCTTCAGTGACTACTTCACACAGAGAACCTGTCAATCACAGCTGTCAATCATGATGTCACAGCACCGTTTTTATAGCATCAAATAACTAACTAAAAACAAACTTATTTTAAAAACAAACACTTGAAATTACATCAATGTGATAGAAACTACAGTAAATGACAAACTATCTTTGGAAAAAGGATATGTGAAGTGTAATTTAATTGTTTAGTTGGTCTCACGTGCCGTTGAATAACACGGGGAGGCGGGGCTTATGAGCTATACTAGGACCGGTCACCGGGGGGCGATCGAGACGCTTTGGCTTCACTTTTGAGGGCTTGTGCGGCACGCTTGGTTCAAACCAATGGTACTCAAAGTAAATTTGAACGAACATTTGCAAGTAATGGCTAAATATTGTTTAACAACACATATCCGATTGTATTTAATTGCACTGCCATAATCTCGGTCAAAACACAAGAGATAAAAAGCATTACCAAAGTACAAAGAGCAATATAACTGTGAACTTTCATCAGCATAACGATCACTTGATAGTTTTTGAGGTGAATCAACATATGCATAATGATTGATCTGTCACGTCATATAGGCCTATGTATCTCGCATTGTTTATAAGTGATATTATTGACAGTTGCATGTGTTGCAAGGAAACACACATCCTTTTGTTTTATGTACATTTGCTCACCTGTCTAATAAAGCTGTCAAGTCGTGACTCGTGAAGCTCTGTCGAGTCCAAGTTAGTCGCGGACGCTAGCTCTCGGCATCTCAAAAACACCACGCTGATGTTGATCCTCATTTTAGTTCTCCTTGTTTGTCCCAAAGTCTGCTTGCCATGATCTACGTTTGAAAGAAACAAGAACTGCGTGCCGCTAAACGTTACGGTCTGTCGCCATGGTTACGTCATGGCTATGGCAGTATGAACAGAAACCGAGGAAAGCGCGGATATTGCGTCGTTGACAGGCGACATTTTTTCCCGGGACAGCCACTTATTTAAAAACGGAATTTCTCTGAAATAAAAAATCTTTGGAGACTTTGAAGTACACAACTGCAGGAAATATATCACACTGTCACACAAAATTCCTACATATTGTACCTTTAAGTTCAAGAGTTGTTTGCCTTAATAATGTGGATACATTTTCTACTTGTCTTAAAAAGATTATCAAAATGTCAATAATTATCGATACCGAACGATATGAAACATTATATCAAAATAATTTTTTTAGCTATATCGCACAGCCCTAAACACCATCACCCCTTACATTAAACTAAACGCATCATGATCAGCTGAAACGCATACGCAGGTTTACTTCCCGAACAAGTGCGCATGTCGGCGTTCACATTCACACGGTTCGAGAGCACTCGTGCCAGTTCCCACAAAAACAGCAAAACAAGCCCCTCACACAAGCCCGCAGTATACCAGCAGACCCGGCGGACCTGTGCCGGGAACACGTGTGGGCGGAGGAGGACCAGTGCCGCTCCTGCACAGTGTAAGGGGAGGATCTGCAGGGGTCAGGGGTCAGGCGGAGGGATGAGAGATGGTGGAAGTCATCAGAGACTCAGTCAGATATATGTCCTCTTATCTCTCAGGCTATCCTGCTAATGCTGAGGACCTACGAGTGAACCCTGCTTTCTGTCGGCCAGCGAGCCTGAGAGATAAAACCGTACCAATTATAAATGACTAGCATGGGCATAGTATGGGGTGTTGAGGAAGACCAATATGGATAAGGATGAACTGGAAGTGGAAGGGCCTTATGATAATCTGTTCAATTGTTAATCAAATCCAGATGTTGAATATGTATGATTTTCCTGAACAAATCCTTGGTCATGTCTGGTTCTGATCATGGACATAAATCTGTGTTTGGTGTTGACCACTGAGTGACCGCACTTGTGCACTCCCAGCATGTGTACACCAGCCACGAGCGGAGGTCACGCAGGGGTCACGCCGCAGGAACAGCACAAGCTCGGGTGTGAGGACCGTGAGGCGCGTCACACACACACTCCAGACTCCTTGTTCAGCATATCTGATGAAAACTGTTGTGACGAAACACTCGTAAGCCTGTCAGAGTGTGAAACTTAGCATCTCATTGATGAACTGCTCATGTTACATGTGTAGCATCTTTGTTTGGATCGTGATTAAATGCAGTTCCCTCTCATTTCAAATGGATACAGATATTGGTTTCTTTAAGGTTAGTTTGGCCTGTAATAGAGCAAATAAATTTGCTCAAGACAAAATAAATAAATCGCAGTATATCCCTTTTCCTTTGCATTAGTGTGTGATCGCAGCGCTTCATGGGGCCTGCAATGCTTTAACTCATGAATCAAGCGGCTCAACCCAAGTCTTCTGGAGAGATCAATCACTCCATCATGGCTCTTCATTAGTACATGATTCATATCAAGGCTGGGCGATAAATCGGTTTTATCGATTAACTCGAATGTGTAGTTTACGTCGATTTGTTTGACTGAAAATGGGTTTTCTCTTTAGCATCCGCGGACGCTCCGCTCTCGAACGGGCTCAGCGTCTGCCATTAGGGCTGTGCAATTCATTAAATTTCGATTTCGGCTCCCAACGATCACCAAAATAGTACAATCGAGGAAAAACGATTATTTTGCCATGTTCTGTTTTGCAAAAACACTTTTATTTTGTCTTGTGTTCTGAATGACACGCGCACATCCGCCCCTCCCGAAGCCATGAACTCTCCCAGCCGATACACTCATAAATTGCAAGCACAACTAGAATGTACATTTCCAGAAGAAAATGTGAAGTGGTGCTTGCAGTGGCAAAACTCACCGCTCAGTTGCATTATGCTAGCATTATTAGCATGTTGCTAGCATGATTAGCATGTTGCTAGCATGATTAGCATGATGCTAGCATGATTAGCATGTTGCTAGCATGATGCTAGCATTATTAGCATGTTGTTAGCATTATTAGCATGTTGTTAGCATGATTAGCATGTTGCTAGCATGATGCTAGCAAAAATAAGCATGTTGCAAACATGTTTTAGCTAGATGCTAGCATGATTAGCATATTGCTAGCATCATGCTAGCATGTTGCTAGCATGTTGCTAGCATGGTTGCTAAGGTGTTACTAGGTGGTTGCTAGGGTATTATGGGTGGTTGCTAGGGCGTTGCTAGGCGGTTGCTAGGGTGTTCTGGGTGGTTGCTATGGTGTTGCTATGCGGTTGCTAGGGTATTCTGGGTGGTTGCTAGGCGGTTGCTAGGGTGTTCTGGGTGGTTGCTAGGGTGTTGCTAGGCGGTTGCTAGGGTGTTCTGGGTGGTTGCTAGGCGGTTGCTAGGCGGTTCTGGGTGGTGTCTATGTTGTTGCTATGCGGTTGCTAGGGTATTCTGGGTGGTTGCTAAGGTGTTTTGGGTGGTTGCTAGGCGGTTGCTAGGGTGTTCTGGGTGGTTGCTAGGGTGTTCTGAGTGGTTGCTAGGGTGTTGCTAGGTGGTTGCTAGGGTATTCTGGGTGGTTGCTAGGGTGTTGCTAGGTGGTTGCTAGGGTATTCTGGGTGGTTGCCAGGGTGTTGCTAGGCGGTTGCTAGGGTGTTCTGGGTGGTTGCTAGGGTGTTGCTAGGCGGTTGCTAGGGTATTCTGGGTGGTTGCTATGGTGTTGCTAGGCGGTTGCTAGGGTGTTTTGGGTGGTTGCTAGGGTGTTTTAGGTGGTTGCTATGGTATTCTGGATGGTTGCTATGGAGTTACTAGGTGGTTGGTAGTGTTCACATTTGGTTACTATAGAGTTTTTATAATGTTCATGGCATGATTTAGCACTTAGCTAATCAATATTAGCATGTAGCTATTCACAGCTAGCATGTTTAGCATGTTGAAAGTCCTGTGTGCCAGCATGAGTCAAAAGACCCAACCCCCATCTCTATACGATGTTCTGATGCAGAGATATTGGTCTTGCAAAATGGTTGCTAGGGTACTCTGTTTGGTTGCTAGGGAGTGGCTTGGCAGCTGCCAATCATGAAGCTCCAAAGTCAATGTGAATGTATAAACCAACCCCCATCTCTATACGATGTTTTGATGCAGAGATATAGGTCTTGCAAAATGGTTGCTAGGGTACTCTGTTTGGTTGCTAGGGAGTGGCTTGGCAGCTGCCTATCATGAAACTCCAAAGGCTGCTTGTCAGTATGAATGATATAAACCAACTCCCACGCCTTTGTGACATTCAGAATGGAAGATATCCCTTTTTGGATTTTGGTTGCTAAGGTGCTCGACAATGGTTGCTAGGGCGTGGCCAGTAAGTGTTGTGGTGATTCAGGATTGGCTGTTTGCTGGCCCGAGTCAAACGAGCCCACCCTCATGTTTCTATGACACTTATATCCTGAGATATCCCATTGATCTCTTTCAATGGAAGTCTATGGAACTTGTTGCTAAGGAGCTCTAAATGGTTGCTAGGGCGTGGCTTGATAGCTTCACAATGATCCTGAGAGACTGATTGGTTGTCTGAGTAAAATGAGCCCGCCCTCTTGTCTCTATGACACTGTGATCCAGAGTTATGTTCAATACAAAAGCGGTTTCTATGGTGTAGGACGGCCCATTTCATGGGCCGTCCTACACCATAGTAAGTCAATGGGGCAACTTTGGGCCCCTCCTGCCCCTCAGGGGTGCAACTTTTACCCCATTGTGTGGTATGTTCTTACAGAGCCTGTCAGCCTCTTCAAATGTGGCAAATTTCACGTTTCTGCGACATCCTCGTTCCGAGCTACGACTCGTCAAAGTTTTTCGCAATGTTAAGTCTATGGGATTTTTTTGGGCCGTTTTTCGCCCCTGGGGCGACCATCGTACCCCCGATCTCTTAGAAAAGTCATAGCACACCATTCCCGAACAGGCCGCACGTTTTGACACCTCATTCATGGGTCTGTGACAAAAACTGCGGGAGGAGTAGCGCGTCAAAAAGTGGCCAGAAGAATAATAATAACTAGAATGTACATTTCCAGAAGAAAATGTGAAGTGGTGCTTGCAGTGGCAAAACTCGCCGCTCGGTTGCTAGAGTGTGGTACATTATTGCATATGAGCCAACAAACACGTCTGTACGATGTTCTGGTGCTGAGATATGGCTTATTCATGTGTTCAGGTGGTTACTAGGGTACCCTATATGGTTGCTATGGTGTGCTTATACAGTTTATGAGATGATATTTAAAGACTAGTTGACAGTCTGAGTCAAAAAAGCCAAACTCCATGATTCTACTATTTTCTGGAGCTGAAATATGGCTTGGAAATGTAGTTTTATGGTTGCTAGGGTGCCCTAAGTGGTTGCTAGGGCGTGAATATGAAGGTAATATGTCACTACTTATTGGCTGCTTGATAGGCCGAGTCAAAAGAGCCCAACCCCAAGTCTCTTTGACCTTCTGGTGAAAAGATATGATATAACAAATTTTGTGCCAATGTTAAGTCTATGGGACTTTTTTCGGCCGATTTATCGCCCGCCGGACGAACATCGTACAACCGATCACTTAGAAAAGACATAGCACACCTCTCCTCAATGAACCGGTCGATTTGACACCTCACTCATGGGTCTACAACAAAAGGTGCGGGAGGAGTAGCGTGCCAAAGTTTTGTCTAGGTGAATAGTAATCACAACACTAGAATGTACATTTCCAGAAGAAAATGTGAAGTGGTGCTTGCAGTGGCAAAACTCGCCGCTCGGTTGCTAGAGTGTGGTAAATGATTGCATACGAGCCAACAACCATGTCTGTATGATATTGTGGAGCTGAGATATGGCATATTCATGTGTTTGTATGGTTACTAGGGTACCCTATATGGTTGCTATGGTGTGCTTATACAGTTTATGAGATGATATTTAAAGACTAGTTGACAGTCTAAGTCAAAAAAGCCAAACTCCATGTTTCTACTATTTTCTGGAGCTGAAATATGGCTTGGAAATGTAGTTTTATGGTTGCTAGGGTGCCCTAAGTGGTTGCTAGGGCACGGCTATGAAGTTATTATATTACTACTTATTGGCTTCTTGATAGGCCGAGTCAAAAGAGCCCAACCCCAAGTCTCTATGACCTTCTGGTCAAAAGATATGATATAACAAATTTTGTGCCAATGTTAAGTCTATGGGACTTTTTTCGTCCAATTTATCGCCCGCCGGACGATCATCGTACAACCGATCGCTTAGAAAAGACATAGCACACCTCTCCTCAATGAACCGGTCGATTTGACACCTCATTCATGGGTCTACGACAAAAGGTGCGGGAGGAGTAGCGTGCCGAAGTTTTGTCTAGGTGAATAGTAATCACAACACTAGAATGTACATTTCCAGAAGAAAATGTGAAGTGGTGCTTGCAGTGGCAAAACTCGCCGCTCGGTTGCTAGCGTGCGGT